ATTATCAGCAATGGCATCTGCAACACATTCAGCTGTTGCCTTCTCTCCACTGATGAGGATTCATATGAAAAATAAACATGATAAAATATCATATTGTTATGGTTGGATAAAGGATTCATTGCATTGGTGAGGCTGATGATGATAATATTAATAGCCATAACATAACAAAACATACAGCACCATAAATGTCTGAAACTGTAGTAACAGGGAGAAACAGTGCAGAAAAGCTATATTTAGTTTCAGAAACCACATTGCAACACGTTTCTTTCTAAAATGCTAGTAACCTCCACTTCTAGTCAAATAAAAGAGTCCTTTTCAATAAATTCTAGAAATCTAATAACTTCCAGCAATCAAATGGACTCCCATTTTTTAGAATAAAAGCCATAGTTTGGTTTGAAGGAATATACTATGAGGCCCATAAGAAGCTCTTGATGGTGGAGTCATATTTTCTTATCAAAGTTCATAGTCTCAATGCAGATTTTGGCAGGAGACATTCTTGCCCATTTGTGGGACTTGCTACACATGCTATTCAAACATTATACCAGAACTTAGAATTCTTTCGATCATATATTTGGGTAGTTAAGACTTCAATAAGTTCTTATAATACGAAAAGCATTTGAATCATGTATCCTTAACTTTTTGCATGAACAACTATCAGTTTTATCTTCACATGTTGTTTTGGGTAATGCAAACACCACAGTATATTACAATACCCAATCAATCAAACCCTTTCAGTGATTACAATAAAGGATTACATACACAGCTGAGAACTTTAAGATGCCAATTATGACAGTGCATTACTAGAAGAATTCTCATATAGGCAGATTTTATTAGCCATCTGTATATGCAAAAGTGCAAAATTCCCAGAAAAATAAGTGATAAACTGTTCAAGATACAGCATATACTTAAAAATCAAAGCCCTAAATACTTGGCAAATCTCCCTCCTTTTTTTGTTTAAAATCTTTTCACTTTGTAATGAATAAGAGCATATTGTAGCTCATAGGGTTACCATGTTTTTCATATTTAGGAATTAAAATCTAGTTGGAGAGAAGTCTACCTTTTCAAGGTGTAATTTTTCACTTGGTAGTGCACCCTCCCTGATCCTCTACACATGGTACACCGCAATGCCTGCCAACCATTGCAGGTTCCACAGTTCCTGCACTTCAAGACTGCAATTAAGAAATCATCCAACTCCTATAAACTATGAACCTAGTAATATCATCAAGTTCACCATGGAAAACATTCACAACTAAGAATCTTTTAAACTTAGTTTGGAAGCTTAGAGATCAACCAGGAATACTACCAGGGTTTTGAAAAATTACACAAAATGCTATACATTTTTGTGTACAAATTACTTCTGAATGAATAGAGTGGAAAGTACAGCATCATCTTTATACATTATGCAAATAATAATTTTCTTTTACTAGAGAGTTTAGCATGTTGTTTTGTTAGATGATCAATCTACAGAGCATTTATATATATATATGCATATTTACAGGTATATACTGAAAAACCATAAACTATTACAGTGTTCGATGCTACAATATCAAACGGAGCATATGAACATAATGAAAGATAAGGACCGCCTTGAAAATTGAAAGGATAATGAAAAATACCTCTGACATATCACCTTCTTTCCCAGCTCTAATGCTATGTCATAAGTCCCTAGGGTAGCAACTGCCTGAAATCAACCCATGAATAAAACCAAAAGAGAATAAAGCACTTAGAATATGCAAGTTCCCAAGAGTAGTAGCACCTCATAACCTACTTCACTGAACTACAAATATAATTCAGCAGGCCAATATAATTATATATTCACCAATTTATACTACATTCATTGCCACAAAAATTCACACAAACCCCAATAATCAATGAACAAAAACCCATCGGCCCGATTAACCAAATGACACAAACCATACAAAACTTCAGTTAACTTCTCAGAATTGCATACCAAAATCCATTCTTTAACCCAAAACTCAGAAAACACCACTAACCCATTTAGAGAGACCTAGTAACACATGGCACGGAATGAAAATTTCCAGTATTAAGTTAAAAGAGCAAATAAATTCTCAAACTTTGCAACAGACAGATAAATTCCCACATGATAAAAGTTCGTGTTTTACAAAAACTCACAAAGATTGACATGTAAGAGAGCTTGGAAACCAACTCGGGCACGCCAAACCCGCGTGGAGCAGAGCCAGCAATGTCAATGGCAAGAGTAAAAGGAGAGAGAACAAGCTTAATAGGGAACTCGAAAATGTCAATGAGCTGTTGGCCATATCGAGCTGTGAAGATCTTGTATTGAAAATCAGCAAATTTCTTCACGCTCTTCAGCAGACGGTCTCTTCCTGTTGACATGGTAGGAAGAGCGAGAGACAGAGAGAGAGATATTGCTCTTGTAATTGCAGAGGTGGTTTGTTAATTGGATAATGTACTAAAAAGAGAGGGGGATGTTATCCTGGATACGTATAATCAGATGCACAGCAATATTAGTCTCCATGACCAAACACTCCACTTTCATTTTTTTGAAATTTTTTTCTTTTGGGGTGGGATGTTTGAACATATCACTTCATGATATGTAAATTTAACTTTTTAATAAATTTATGGTTTAGGAACCAAAATCTAAAAAGCATTTTAATGTTAAGGAATAATAATCTTTACACATGTGCCAGTTTGGTATTGCTTATTTGGGGTGATAAGTGATTTTTAAAAAAATTTAGGTAGCCCAATTCGTTTGGTAAACTATGAGAAAATCACTTATAGTTAAAAATTGTTGTGAGATAAAGCTATAAAGAAAAGCAGCTAATGAGGTGCTTTCATTTTCTGATTATGCAGGAATCAATTTCGAATAAGCACTGGATTTAATGATTATACGGGAATCATTTTCTGATTCTGCCGGAATCAATACCAACAACATTTTTAACAAAAAATTTACCAAATGCCAAATTGTTTTCTCTCACAACTGATTTCTTTCACATCAAATCTGACAGTGATTATTTTCACAACATAGCAATGCCAAACTAGCATAGTCTCTCCACACAAAAAAAAAATTACATATAAATGTTATATTTAGGTATATCTAAAAGAAGTGACAATTTTTGACATGAGAAACTCAAAAATCAACTTAAAATTGTATTCTTAGATAATAATAAAAAACCAATAAAAGATTAGGGCAGCAGTATATTTATTAACGTTACTATTTCAACCAAAGATCTTCGAAATGATTAATAATAATTTGTGTATCGAATCAATATACCTAACATACGGAATCAAGTCCAATTTTCTTGTTACCAAATCCCATATGTCCCTGATTCCTCCTTAATGTTGTGACATGCGACACACAACTTAATAGGAGTTTAACTCTGTTAACTCTCTTTTAGCCCTTTTTTTAATCAAAAGAATTAAAATATATTATAACACAAGTTTGCACGCCTTTTCATCTTCAGCCCCTACATCTTCTCCATTGTGCAAAACTTAGCCCCTGCATCTTCTCAGCTGTGCAAAACTCAACCCCTGCATCTATTTCACTTGTTGGCAGTATTCTTCATGTAAAGTGTTGTTTGAAAACTGAAGCAATTATCAAGAACACTCCAACTCAGCATGCAATTCTCTACGACAAATAATGTGTGCAGTAACAGAATTTAGTATTACTCGAGAGAACGAGATCGATCAAAGGCAAACATTCCCACACAAAAAAATAAATAAAATCGAACTCTCTAATTGCTTTACTATGAAATTTCTCTCTTTTCGATATCTGCTTTGGATGTTGAAACTAGTAAATTAATATCTATAAATAATATAGTCGCACACCTATACTTGATTTTAATACATGTCAAGCATTGGGACGCAAGTAATCGTCGTCACTATCATAAAATTAAACTAGTGAATAAACCTTTTTCCTTCTCTTTTTCTGGAAAAAAAAAAAAGGAAACCAAATGAATTATTATTGTTGCAAATTAATTGTTTAAAAGCTTCTTGTGCGATGGCTCTAACACCAGTAGCCAAAATCTTTGTTTGAAATTATTGTTTTGGTTGGCAAAGAGATTACAAAATCACAATCTTGCATTTTTGTTACAACAAGTAAGAAATAATCTTAGCCTCTCACATTAATTCATAGTTAGTAAAATACGGAATGGGAAAAAATATGAATAAAATACGTACGTGTTTTATTTGGCAAAATTTTGGCACAATACAACTTAAAAGTTTGGCCACTATATTATATTTTAATATATATTATTTACATTTTTTAATATATATTATTTTTATTCAATAATATGTGAGAATTATGTGTATAATACATGAATTTTGTGTGTCTTATTGAAATTTTTGTAAAAAAATACGTGTATTAAACATGAAAAATGCATACATGCCTGCATAATATGAGTATTGTATGTTTGCTTTTTAAAAAAAAGTGAACTTTACTGAGTCTTTAAGATGTTCGCAAAACACGGATGTATTATTGAAAAATACATACGTACGTGTATAATACATTATTAAACGTGAAAGTGCTACAATCTTTATACGTGTAATAATTTTGGAAAAATAAAAAATCAAAAGGGGACAATAGAGACTCAAGTAATGGCCTAATAGTAATGCATAATGCTTTTAAACAACTCTTATTGGTAAACAAAAAATGGGGGAAAAAAAGATCCCACTATATCTATAAAACGTATAGCCGCGCGGCTATACTATTTCTTTTTAAAATTTTAAAAAATCGAGTATAGTCGTGCCTCTTTGGATTTAGCTTTCATTAATAATAATTATACTAGCCTCTCCGCACGCGCTTCCGCGCCTGCGAGATGCTTTTTAAAAAAATAAATTAAATTTATTCTAGAATTAAAAAAGATAATGGATAGTTGTGTTCCATAAAAATAGACTCATTATCTGATTTTTCTTTTAATTTTAATTTTTTTAAATATGAAAAAGGTGTGAATTTACCATATTATCCTCATTTAATTAATAATTT